ACCAGGCTTGAAGGGCACCGCTGGACTTGGCTCTTTGTATGAGGGGTACTGTTCCAAGTGCATACATGGCCATGGCGAGAGGATCGCCTTGGGTGGTACCTTCGCAAGACAGAAGTGTTTCGCCTCCAACGAAGAGCTTGGATGGGGAGCGGTAGGAGTTGATGACGGTAGTTGAGAACTCCGGGCAGAGGTGGCGGATGTTTGCGAGACATGCAGCACGGTTAATGCAATTGAAGGCATTTGAGGCATCGGCAAGTAGAACGGCTTCCGTGTCGTCATTTGCGAATGTGGTCTTGATGGCGTGAATTGCAGCTTCGATGCCACACTGTTGGCCGGCACAGAGTTGGAGAGAGCCGACTGCTTGTTCGATGGCTGGACCGACCACTGTCAAGATGGTTTTCCCTAGCACGCGGCGCACAACTTCCCCAACGCCAATAGGGCGCACACCTGGTTGTTTGTCTAGGGGAATGAGCCGGCAGGCATTGTAGGCCTCCAATGACGCTGGATCAACAGGGCACGATGCTAATCGGCGTGCACATAGTGCTAGGGCATCGCACAGGTCGTCAGAGGACGAGCCGAATGACGTGCAGATTTGTCGCCAGCCCACTGCATCCATACCAGAAGGCCCCGCTGCTCCAGTGGTGTTGAGTACTGCCTGCTTCACGACATCCCTGGTGATGGCGGAGAACATGATTGGATGGGGAGGTGGGGGTGGGACACCTGTGATTGCTGCACTATCTTGCAGGTCTTCTGCCGGCGGATGTTTGGCGGTCAGAATGTCCCTGACTGTTTGCCCGTTGATCTTGTCGTCAAGGGACAAGACACCCTTAGAGCTGGTATCGGACAGCATTCTGACTGCCGTGGTGGTTTTGCCCTCTGCTATCAAGTTGGCGAAGCGGCGGGCATCATCGGGGTGCTTGCTACCGGTGTGCTTGGCTTTGGCAGCGGATACTAGTTGCTGCTGGATGGTGCGCGCTTCCTTCACCAGCTGGTCGACGTCACCACCTGTCCATAGTGGGAGTCTGCGGTTCAGGCAGTTTAGGAATTCCTGTCTCCTTTCGGCGCGATGTGGCTTTTGGAGGAGGAGCTGGGTGGCGACCATTGCGGCTTTGATTGCAATGCCCTCCCCAGCGGACGCTTCTGCAAAACGCCTGTACAATCCAGCAATGATCTTCACAAATGTGGATCCGACAGTTCCTGATGGTGGCATGAAGAGATTGGGTCGAAAGTGAACGGCCTCTTCATATGCGGCGTTGATGATCTGAGCAGAGGACTGGAAGTCGTGCTCACCCATCGAGAACTGATTGTTGGCAGGGGCATAGTTTGGAAGATGCTGTGGCTGTGGATCTGCAACCGGCTCCTGCTCCTGTGTGCCCATGTCACCGCTTAGTTGTGGCTGCGAGGAGGCCAGGTTTGCCAACAGGTCAGCCTCTTCCGCTGTGGGGGTCTCATGGTGCTGGTCCAGCATGTCCCACGCTTGCTGTTGTGAGTCAGAGACGTGTACGTGTGTGGGTGACGTACGTGATGAGTGCGTTTGTGCGAGTGGCTGGGTCGGGGTGCCTGAGTCTGCTGGCAAACTGGCACGTGAGGTACTACCGGTACAAGCAGGGATATCCGGGATGCTATCTTGCATGTTTCCAATGTCTCTGTTTGCTACTGTACAATCATTCGAATTTTCGGAGGCAGCCTCTTGTCGGCACTCCGCAAGCAGAGCAGCAGTGAGTGACTCTGGGGTCTCAGCTGTGGTAGCCGGCCTCATTGTCGTGTCCCGCTGTGTAGGTCTGACACCGTCAGCCTGCTTGCCAGTTGACACTTCTGAACTGGTGCTTGACTCCGCAGACTCCGCGGATTCCAGTAAGTTCCATGCTAGCTGTTGAGAGCTTGAAACTTTCGACATAGCAGCGGCGAGTGCGGCGGAGGCTATGTCATCCGCTGTGGTTGCACCGGACACAGGCGTTCTCTGAGCGGTGGTTGTGTTGGTTGTTGATCTTCGGTTGGGCGACGCAAATCCGAGTTGCTCAGGTGGGGCTGCCCCTGGCTTGGGTACGGGACTAACGGCTGGCTCTTCTCGTACGGTTACGGTGTTCTTACAGTTCGACTTCCGTCCTGGCGCGCAGCTCGTGCACTTACGATTCTCTTTAGCACATTTGCATTTGTTGCAGGTGCCATTGCCGTTGCACCGGCAACATTGGCCCTTGGTTTCCAGATGACGACCCCCTGGTGGTCCCTCCATGCTGTCCGCCATACCGTCAAAGCATTGTGCGATAGAGTCGCCCGCAGAGGTACAGAAAACTTGACGACGCAGAGCTCCAAAAACTACGACTCCCCGCCCGCCATAACGCGTGTTTTGGCTCAAGGAGTTTTTGGTCGGTTGTCATGATGATCCGTATACGGGGTGAAAACGGGAGCAGAGGAAACGGGAGACGTAGACGTGGTATGGAGAGGGCCAGGGGGGTATACGACTTTTTGTATGAACACCATAGACGTAGACGTAAACGGGAGTCGGAGAACGTGGTGTGATGACGGCCTAATTATTATTATTATTAGGCCAAACTAAAGAAGGTGTGTGGTTCGACTCACCCGACCGACCGTACAATTTCAGCCCGACCGTAACTTTTTTTCGGCGGGCTGTCCATGCAGTGCAGTGAGTGGTACGACTGCTGCCTTGTGCTGGTAGTAGAGTCTACTCGATACGCGTATACAGTGTATTTACATGTACTAAAAAATATATTAAAAAAAAAAAAATCCGCCCGCCCGCCCGTAAAAAAAATGTCCATGTTAGTCGAACCACACACCTTCTTTAGTTTGGCCTTATTATTAAATTTTTGATAGGGCAATCCCCACAGGCCTCTTCGCGTTCCGGTAACGTAAAGAAAAGCTACGTTCACGGAGAGAAGTCACGTGAAATGCGTACTGGGACTTCCCCTCCCAGATTTGGCAGTTTTCTGCCTGCAGTTGATCAATACTCAGCAGACCCATACGCATTTTCTCTGCGTGTGCCACAACGTAGAGAACCTCATCTCCGCGTAGAAATCGGGAGCCAAACACGCGAAGCCGTAGACTCTAACCCAGACACCTGCTCTCTACGTGATTTCTCTACATTTCACGTATAGCAGAACCTCCCTAGTAATAGTTCAGTTTTCAGTCCGCTATCGGGCGGCAGCACTCCAGTAATAGTTCAGTTCCCACACAGTACCGCTCCTGAGCCGGATCAGACCACAATCCTAGCCTCGGCAACCGCCAGTGCGGCAGAAGCAGAGACAAGGCGGTGGCAGTGGATCGGTCGGCGGGCACCCCGAAGACAGGCAACACTTGCACGCATGAGGGCGAAGCTCAGCCGGGCACGAATCCAGGCCATGACAGAGGAGTAGGCTTCACGAGCCTTCTCGGACTACATGGAGGCAATGCGCTTGTAAAGAGAGATAGCTGAATTGCCCATGCCACCATGTGCCGAGAAAACCACAGGGATGAAGCCTACCCGCTCAACGTGCTGAACCCTTTCTCCGTAGCAACGTGAAGCGAAAGCTCTTTCAGAGCTCGCGTCAACGCAAAATATTGACGTTCACGTAAGAGCACAAATCACGCGGGTCGAAACCTCTCTAATACCGAGCACCTTACGTAGAGACTCACGTAGCCTAAGTGAAATACCGAGCACCTTACGTAGAAACTTACGTAGCATAGCGGTGTCGTTTTTCTTGCCATGTGAATACAATAATCTAGAAAAGCTGACAGGATCGCTTTTCTAAATAATCAAGCGAGGTACAGAGGGCTTGAGCATTGATGGCTGATCAAAGCCCAAGGGACCAGCCCGAGGGCCCGAGGGCTTTGATCAGTCATCAAGCCCGACTGTACCTCGCTTGAATATGCTTCAGACGATCCCCAACAATTTTTTTGATTTTGAAATCAATCGCTTTATTCTTTGGGTGATCTCGAGTGTGGACAATGTCGGCCTTTCGTTTGGGATTTCAGAGCAGCCTGAAGTCTAAAGTGCATGTTGTTTTCGTCCCGTTACGGTAAGTTTCACACAGAGATTACAGGAGAGGGAAACTCATGTCAGTGGACGAAAAACCTGTTTCGTGAGAAATTTCTCAGGAATACGTGACAAGATATTAGCTTAAGAGCCAGACGTGGCTGAAGAGTGCAGTATTTTCACTTCGACGATATACACCTTGCTCACGCTGCATACTGCTGAGAGTTCTGCGGTGCTGGAGCTATATTTCCAACTCCACAAGTTGACAAGTAACCGTTAGTTGAAAAGACTGAGATTGGGTATGATCAGGGCTTTGATTGTTTTGTCGTACAGTTGCCAATGGCAGAGGGCTTTGATTGTTTTGTCGTACAGTTGCCAATGGCAGAGGGCTTTGATTGTTTTGTCGTACAGTTGCCAATGGCAGAGGGCTTTGATTGTTTTGTCGTACAGTTGCCAATGGCAGAGGGCTTTGATTGTTTTGTCGTACAGTTGCCAATGGCAGCGGGCTTTCATGCTTTTCATGTACTCTTGTTTTCTCCTACAGGTTGCCAATGACAGCGGGCTTTGATGGAATATCAAAGCCCGCTCTCCGAGGCTGCTGATTGGTCGTAACCTAGCAAAGGGCACGTGGGTCGTTTGAAAGCTGCGGCAATCCCTCTTCCTTAACCTCTATAACTAATTCTTATGACTTTGCACTCATTACCACAATACTGTTATACTTCCCAATCCGTTGCTCCCAAAAATGGCAACTTTGCCCGGTATACCTTATCATTGGTCTTGTATATATTATCCCCTCACTGTGCATAGTTCGTACTCTTCACGAAACAAAAGCATGGAGAGTCTACCCTTGGTCTGTTGGTACAAGACTATAGTCACAGAACGGGTGTTGACTTTACAAAATATGTACATGTTACATCAACTGCAAGTATCTATACCTTCACCTAAAGTAAGAGTGAGAGTGTGCAAGAGTAAGAGTGAGAGTGTGCAAGAGTAAGAGTGAGAGTGTGCAAGAGTAAGAGAGAGAGAGAGA